AATGACCGTGTGCTCTCACCTGTAGCTCATCCAGTTCCTGATCTCGCTGGTGCAGTCAAACCGGATCCTGGGGGTGAAGAGAAAGATGTGAGGCATTGGGTCTGCCCCTCGGGCCCCCCTTCTGTCACCTGTGTCCGGGGGTGTGGCAGCAGCTAACCCCTCCTCCCCGCAGCCCCCTGATGCTGAACGATGGCAGCTCAGCGCACCCCCTGCCCAAGTATGGCCGGCAGTACTCCCTAGAGCACGTCCACACCACGGGCCCCTACACGGTGAGCACCGCGGCGGGCAGCGGGAGGGCACCGCCCCGGGCCAGGACACATGCCACATGTGGCCACCTGCTTCGACTGCAGGCCTCGTCCCCAGCCTACGGCAGCTCCAGCCTCTTCCCCTCAGACGCAGTGGCCAGCTCCGGACCCATCATCTCCGACGTCACGGAGCTGTCTCCCGCCAGCCCTGCAGCCTCCCCAGGCGGGAGCATAGACGAGAGGTGAGCCCAGACGCCATCTACCCTAGGCCAGCCTGGGCCAGGCTCAGAGGGCGTGGGCAGGTGGGGCCATGCAAGGTCCTGCTAACACGCCCCTCCTCTTTTCCAGGCCCCTGTCCAGCAGCCCCTTGGTGCGTGTCAAGGAGGAGCCCCCCAGCCCCCCTCAGAGCCCCCGAGTGCCGGCGACCAGCCCTGGGCACCCGCCTTCTGTGGACACGCCCTTGTCCCCAACTGCCCTCATCGACTCCATCCTGCGGGAGAGCGAGCCCGCCCCTGCTGCCTCGGTCCTCAGGCCGGAGAGGAAGGGCCACTGGTCCTGGGAGCACAGTGCTCACAGCCACCCTGGGTGCAGGCCGTGCGTCCCGGCATCTGCCGTGCCAGCCACGCAACCCTCGGCCCCCAGGGTAACAGCTCGGCCGTGGTGGGCTCTTGTGTTTGTGTCTTGCAGTCTGGCTCGCACTCCACAGATGTCTGGGGTCGCCCGCCTCTTCCCCTGCCCCTCCTCTTCCTCTCTGCATGGCCGAGTCCAGCCAGGGTTAGCGCTGCCCCTCTGGGGAGGGGGGAGGGCTCTGCCAGAGCTCGGGCCCCTCCCATGGCCATGGACTAGACCCTGCCTGGGCTCGAGCACCCAGCCCTCTACATCTTCACTGACAGCCCCGGTCAGGGGCCAGAAGCCCAAGTCCCTGCCTGGTGGGGCAGGCCTGAGGTCCCAAGTTCTGTGCGGCCTGAGCTTCTGCCAGGGGTGGGCCCCACAGCACCTCTGGATGCCAGTGGCTGCCAGGCCGTAGTCCAGGTACCTGGTGGCCTGGGGCTCCTCCCCTAATGCCCAGGCAGTGGGCCTGCAGCCCCACCAGAATCACCAGGAGGCCACGAAGGCCTTTGCAGTGACAGGACGCCCCTTGGGGGCCCTCCCCAGCAGGAGGGCATCCAGGTAGGCTAGGCGTTGCCTCACCTGCCCACTCACCCCGGGCCAGGAATGAGCTCAGTGACCACCTGGACGCCATGGATTCCAACCTGGACAGCCTGCAGAGCATGCTGAGCAGCCCCGGCTTCAGTGTGGACACCAGTGCCCTGCTGGACGTGAGTCCCGCCCCACCCCGCACCCCACCCTCGGCAGGCCCAGCCCTGACCACCCGCCCTCCTCCTGCAGCTGTTCAGCCCCTCGGTGACCGTGCCCGACATGAGCCTGCCTGACCTCGACAGCAGCCTGGCCAGCGTGCGTAGGCGGCCCGTGGGGGGAAGGGTGGGGGCAGCAGGGACCCTCACTGTCCTGTCCCCTCCACCCTACAGATCCAGGAGCTCCTGTCTCCCCAGGAGCCCCCCAGGCCTCTAGAGGCAGAAAACAGCGGCCCAGACTCAGGTGAGTCGCCGCCCCTCCTACGCACCTGGCCCTCCTGCACGGCCGCCTGACCCCACTCCCCTGCAGGGAAGCAGCTGGTGCACTACACGGCGCAGCCTCTACTCCTGCTGGACCCCGGCTCCGTGGATGCGGGCAGCGGCGACCTGCCTGTGCTTTTTGAGCTGGGGGAGGGCTCCTACTTCTCCGAGGGAGATGACTACGCAGACGACCCCACCATCTCCCTGCTGACGGGCTCTGAGCCCTCCAAGGCCAAGGACCCCACAGTCTCCTAGAAGCCCTGCCAGTGGCAGCCTGCCCACCCACCCCAGTGCAGGCTGGTCTGGGGCAGGGCAAGCATGCCATCCTGAGTGCCCAGGGCCGGCAGCACAGCACGGGCAAGGAGAGACGGCTCAGGGCTGGGTAGTACCTCGGCCAGGCAGGAAGGCCCAAGCGTGCCTGCCAGCGTGCACTCTGGCCCCAGCGCTTCACAGACATACTTGGACTGACCCTGCAGGCTGTTCACAGAATTGTATTTTGGATTTTTACACGAGCCCTTTTCCTTCCATAGACAGACATGTACGCATAGGTGGACAGATGGACTGACGAGACAGGCAGAGGTTATAAACGGACAGACCAGACTGCACTGTGGTCTCTGTGTTTTTCCTCTGGCTCAGGGTGGCAATGGGCGTGGGGTGCGAGAACAGCGGGGGACTGGGAGTGAGCATGAGCTCCTTACCGAGGAGTCTGGTTGGGGGGGCTCCAGTTGCCAGTGGGGCCTCAGGGACCCCAGGACAGAAAGGGGCACTTGGTAACCTGGCATGCAGTCATGTGCAGGTTGCCACTGCTGCCTTGGGGCCCAGGGCACCACCCTTTACCAGCAGGCTCCTGAGCTGTGCCACACTGCAGGAGGGTTGGGTCAGTCCCCGTGGTGTGAGGCCGTCCTGGCCCCCTGCTGCCCAGCTCAGCAGGTGGCAGAGCTGAGGGCAGGCTTGGTGGGGGGGGGGGGGGGCTGCAGTCCCTGCCAGCAGCTCAAGGTGAGGGTATGAGGCCACAGGTGAGCTTTGGTCCTTGCAGGACTGCCACCTCACTGACGCCTGGCCCCCGGGAGCCCTGGGGCACAGCTTACTCCCAGGCCCGGTCCGCACCTGGGGTGGGGTGGAGGCCCACCAACAAGTGCTACCAACCAGGAGCCCCGGTCTGGCCCAGGCTGAGGCCCTGCAGAGGCCCCCAAGTCTGGCAGTACTGCGAGTCACTGCCCACCGAAGACAGGATGCCCGGCTGGCTCAGCCCCTGCCTCCCCTGCTGCTCTGTCGCTTGGTCATGGCCTCTGCAGGACACCCAGCCACTCCTAGCACCTTGGCCCCCAGGGGCTTGCAAGGACCCCAAGTTCCCACCCAGGAGCACTAGAGCCCACACCAATCGTGTTAAACCCTGTCCCAGCAGGCTGCTGGGGGGTCGGGGTCACTTGCTCTGACTTGATTACAAGCCCCTTCCCACACCACGAGCCAGGGCAGTCTCTGGACAGTGCTTTATTGGCACCCTTGGCTGGGGGCAGGCTCCTGCTGGCCCAGCTGTACCAGGTCTGTACATCCCCAAGGGGAGCAGGAGGGAGCCCCATAGGGGCAGAGAGCTTCTTGGGGCAGGAGTGAGGTGCAGGGTGGGAGGGTCCCTGCAGCACGTGAGGCCCAATCCTGATGCTGTGGTCAGGTGCCGGCAGGCGCCTCGTGGTTGAGCACGTAGTAGTCGTGGACATACATGAGCACCGCCACAGGCTGCCCGATGATGAGGCTCAGCCACACAGCCGCATTGCCATAGTTGCCCCGGAAGAAGCGGCCCACGATCCAGGCCAGCGGGATCTGCAGACATGCCCACCAAGGTCAGCCAGCCAGAGCTACTCTGGCCGGGACTGGGCAGCTGAGGTCAGGCAGGGCCTGCTCACCTGCGCCATCATGCCAGTGAAGGCCCAGAGCCGGAACATGCGCAGAGGGATGCTCACCAGGTACTGTGGGGGAGAGGGTGTCAGTGACTTGTGGCAGCCACGGACCTGCCCAGAGAGAACCAGAGGGTCCCAGCACTGACCTCATGGAAGAAGGCTGAGGCCAGGAACACCCCTGTCCTGGCCACCCACTTGCTGAAGCCCCTGCGGAGCATGGGCTTGTAGAAGTGCCTGCAAGGGGAGGGGCCGTGAGGTCGGGCCACTCGTGTGCAGTCCCGCCCGCGCCCCGCACGTACCTGATACACCACTTGTGCACAGGGATGTTCCAGTTCTGCCAGAAGTAGGTGACGGACTCTGAGTTCCTGGGAAGAGCAGGGACAGTGGCGGCAGAGCCCCACGGCTCAGGCCCGCGCCCAGGCCCACCCCCAGGCCACCCACCACCAGTCGCGGTAGAACTCCCGGTCTCCAAACTGCAGAAGCTCAGCAACAGCGTTCAGGCAGGAATGGAAGAGCCAGTAGAAGAAGATGAGCCAGATGAGGTGGTTGGGGACCTGGGGGACCGGCCTCAATGAACCAGAGGGGGCTGGGGACCTGGGGTCGGGCCTCCCAGAGCCCAGGGAGGAGGCTGGGGACCTGGGGTCAGGCCTCTGGTCCCGGAAGACCCCGCCCCGGAGCTGCCCTGGCCCTCTGGCTCACCGCTAGCTTCAGGAGGCGCTCGATGATGCGGGAGTAGTCCATGTCCTGCGGGAAGGGACAGGCGCGTCAGCCAGCACGCCCGCAGCCTCCCCGGGCCGGGCGGGGTGAGCCTGAGCGGTCACCTTGAAGGGCTTCATGGAGTTCTGGACGGTGGGCACCATCCACTGTGAAGGAGAGGAGGGCTCGGCCTCGGGCCTCTGCGGGGCGCCGCGCCCCAACCCCACCCCGAGCTCCGTACCTGCTGGATCAGCCCCACCTGCAGCTGGGTGAAGAACAGCTGCGGAGGAGAGGGGGCGCTCAGCCCGCATCCCGCAGCCCGCGCCCCCCG